GTCTATTCTAGAAGTCCTATACCTATTACAATCCCTATACTACCCTTCCTACTTTAAATTACTATTCCTAAAAACTACCCTTTTCTATGCCTAAATTACCCTTCTACTAGTCTGAAAATTACAGACCAATGGTTAACTGATCCCAATCCCCTCACCCTAGCTCGAATTTAACTGAAGTTAATTAACAAATGATCACTCAGCTATATCCAAACCTTAAAATCTAATCAAACTGCAAATGAAGACTGAAACTCAATTGAACTAAACTTAAACTAACAGAATCATTAATTCAAATAATTTCAAGGCGGGCTGGAAACATTAACAAGGAAGAAACTCTATTGAATCTTGGAATTAAGAAGAAAAGACCTCGACTCAGAATTTGCTAACAATAACAAGACGAAACTATATCGAAATTAAACTAACAATTAGAATGTCTGGAAATTGAACTACACATGAATCAAATTAAACAAAACTTAAAATGCAAAGCGACCTCACCGATTAAGACAGATGAAAAAGAAGCAACAGAGGAATTAACTAAGAGAATCGTAGAGCTACAAAATACTTACTACAGAAAGCACTCGACCTTGAAAATCTCCTCAAAACAGGTTCAATTACAAAAACTCTAGATCCATAATTCAGGGCCTTCTGCTTGGATTCGAGGGATTCTAGGCGTGAAATAGTGATGAGGGAAGGAAGACAGTTGCCTGGTATGATTTTGGGTTCATTTGGGCCAACTTGTGATTTGGCAGGAAAATCTTCGATGGAATATTCGACGAGATTGGCTATGATTCGAAGAAAACCATCGTGGGGGTTGGGAAGAGGAGAAGAAGGAGCATCTATGGTGTTTTTCTGATGATTTTTGGCATGGAAGTCGTTTCCCGCCAGCGAGAGTTCCGGCAAAGATAGGGTGGTGGAGGCGGAGAGGGACATGGGTACGAGGAAAGGGGGGCTGGTCTCTAGGGTTTTCAAACTTTAGGACAGTTTTATTATAATTCGAGAATCAATCCAGGCCGTTGGATTAGAGGGGATGGATGGTCTGGATTAAACCACGTCAAAACGACGTCGTTTTGAATATGGGGCGATTGGACCGGGTGGTCTTGGGGTTGGGCTTGGGTTGGTCCAATGTTTTTTTAAAGACTGGGCCATCAATTGTTCAGCAATGAACGGCCCAATCTGCTTTGCTTCTCTTTTATTCTCCTTTCTTTTATTTTCTTTCATTTTCATTTCAATTTTTTTAGATTTTTGTCAAATACAAAATTAAAATTAATAGACATGATTTAATTCCAAAATTGCACTAATTAATTTTCTAAAACTAACTAAATCCTAATTCAAAAGAAAGTCAAACCAAAAAATGTAAAAAAACGACTATTTTGTTATTTCTTCTATTACTTTGGTAATATTATTTAATTGGTAGAACTAAAAATATAAAAAT